AGAAAGAACCAGCCCTGCCAACACCTCGATTTTATCCCTGTAAAGACTCATTTCAGACTTCTGACCTTCAGAACTGCAAAAGAATAACTGTGTTTTCTTTTTAAGATTTTATTTATTTATTTGACAGAGAGCGAGAGAGCGCCAGCAGGGGGAGCAGCAGAGGGAGAGGGAGAAGCAGGCTTCCCGCGGAGCAGGGAGCCCGACGCGGGACTTGATCCCAGGACCCTGGGATCATGACCTGAGCCGAAGGCAGACGCTTAACGACTGAGCCACCCAGGCGCCCCTGAAGGCAGATGCTTAACTGACTGAGCCACCCAGGCGCCCCTGAAGGCAGACGCTTAACGACTGAGCCACCCAGGCGCCCCTGAAGGCAGACGCTTAACTGACTGAGCCACCCAGGCGCCCCTGAAGGCAGACGCTTAACGACTGAGCCACCCAGGCGCCCCTGAAGGCAGACGCTTAACGACTGAGCCACCCAGGCGCCCCTGAAGGCAGACGCTTAACGACTGAGCCACCCAGGCGCCCCTGAAGGCAGACGCTTAACTGACTGAGCCACCCAGGCGCCCCTGAAGGCAGACGCTTAACTGACTGAGCCACCCAGGCGCCCCTGAAGGCAGACGCTTAACGACTGAGCCACCCAGGCGCCCCTGAAGGCAGATGCTTAACGACTGAGCCACCCAGGCGCCTTAAGTGTGTTGTTTGAAGTCGCTACATTGGTGATAATTTGTTACAGCCGAACAGGGAACTAATGCCTATCACCATCTCTCCCCCAAAACAAGGGGAGAAGCAGCGAGAGGGGCTTAAATGGGACCAATCAAAGCACTGGATGTTTATCCCTAATCACTAGGGAGACTCAGTGACCTGAAGTCTGACTGCTGAGTGGGAAGTCGGAAATGCAGACTCGGGGCTGGCTGGCTGCTCCGTGCTGGGGACCAAGGAGAGGGCTGTGCTGGAATCAGCCAGCGGTCTTCTTGTAGTTGGAACCGAGGATGGCTGAGTGCTTCCTGCGTGCCACTCAGCCAGCGAAGGGCTCAGTAGAGGGGAAGATGGCAGTGGACCAGCGGATTCCTAGGGCTGCGGGGGGGATGAGTGACCCCCAGAATCCTGCAGGGTAGCCTCCTGGACCCAAGGGACTGCCTGGATTGGGGAAGGAAAGGCAAACACCAGGGGTTGGCTAGCTGAGAAGGAAGAGGGAGGAAGGACCATGTCTTCTGCCCATCACCCCATCACATTGTGGCCACCGGTCATGGCAGGCCCCAGCCGGGAGGAGATGTAACATTATATCAACTTTCAGGGAGCACAGTGACCACTCTTCCATGGCCTAAGAGTTCTCTGAACAAGTCAAAAGACCTGTCTGAATTGTCCTCCAGGGACAAGGGAAGGAAGCTTGCTTCCCCTTGAGCAGGTTTAAAGGGACTATAGGAGGCAAAAAAAAAGAGATTATTTTATAACTATACTCCCTGAGTCCTACTTGATCAAAGGTACCAATTACAACCAGGCCTGGTCAATCTTGGCCCTCTCATTTCTTTTCTCAAATGGTTGGTTTGGGATGGGTGCGTGCCTCAGTTCTGGCCAACTGAGGCTCAAAGAGAAGCCTGCTGGAGGGCTTCTGAGAAGTCCCGGCCCTGCAGAGCCTTTCTGCTTTGGTCATGATTGCACCAGGCCAGGATGCTTGGAGCTGCAGCAGCCATTCTGCAACCAAGAAGAGAGGCATAGAAGGCAGAGGGGAAAGATGAAAAGATGTCTGGGTCCCTCACAACCGCATCACGCCACTGAACCAATCCTGGAGCCCCCCACTTCTGACTTCTTAAGTGAACTAATACATTTTATAAAGCTTACGCCATTATTAGTCGGGCACTCTGATATTCCACCAACTAAATACATCCTAACGGACATGATGTTCAAAGGGGAAGAGTCTTGTGTGTATATATATATAAAGTCTTGTTACATATATTCCCACTTGGGTGGCCGTTACATACCACCTTATTGGATATTTCTTCTTGTAACTTACCTCCTTTGCTCAACTAAAATGAATACAGCATCTCTGTATTCTTGAGCCTGGTTATTACAAGTTAATGAGCTATACGTACTATTAATTTGCACATTAAAATCCAAAAAAGTACAAAAATTATAGCTTTAGGGGCGTCTGGGTGGCTCAGTCAGTTAAGCATCAAGTCTTGATCTCAGCGTCGTGAGTTCAAGCCCATGCTGGTCGTGGAGACTACGTTTAAAAAAAAAAAAATTACAGCTTTACTTTTGACAATTGATCTCATTTTGTTCTCTAGATTTCTGTGAGTGCAGGAAATAATGCTTGTGCTAGCCAATAAAATGCAGCTCATTCTCTTCTGGTTTTAAGCAGTTTCTTTTGGACACAGCTCCAGTCAGGTTTGAATTCAGACTCACTATCAGTACAATTTCTCCCCTTTCAAGGGGTCTTCCAAGGTGGCATCTGAGAGCAGGAAGCATGCTTCTGTTCCTGGTGTAGTGGGGGATTACCTGCTCTTGTGTTTTCACTGTAGACCCTATTACTACTCTGTGATCAATTTCCAATGTGGCTTTATGCTGCTATGGTTTGTTATGACAACCCAACTTTTTATGAAGTTCCCACAAAACCCAAAATACCCTTGAGAAGAGTGAATGGAAAAAAAAAAAAAAACAACACAACAACAGTGAATGAACACCTTAAGGATGACAAAGTGCTTCTGGGCAGATTGAAGTGGGAGAGGCAGGATGAGATGAATGACCAGACCAGAGGAACACCGTTTTGTGCTTCTTGGTAGGATGCTCCCTAAAAGCCACAGCATAGGCTCAGTGGTTTGGATGGGCCTGGCCAGGGACATTAAATCTTAGGTAGTGACTCAAGAAGGTTGTTCCTAGTGCCAGTGACCAGGGGTGGTCCCCACAGTGGCTTCTCAACTGGATCGTTCCTGTGGTGTGATCTTGGCTGTGTTCACAATCCTTCTATAGTTCCTGTCCAGTTGCCAAGGCTTCTGGCCATTCTGCGAGCTCCCACTATTCTTTCTCTTTAAATTAGCCAGAGTGAGCTTTAGGATTTTGCCATCCAGAGCCACAGTGACTCTAAGCTCTTTTAGTAAATGTAAGGAGAATGGGTTTCCTGGGAGACAATTCTCCATGGGCCTTTTGCATTTCTGCTTGTCTCACAAATAGAGGCACCGACTTTTCAAGGGTGTTTAATAGAGTGAACAACCTTGGAGGATAGTGATTGCATCTCCTTCTGGAGCAAAGAGCAGGTTTGTTTGCTGCCCATTATAAAAGATTTGTGCTCCTAAGCTCAGAGCTTCTCTGGTAATGCAAACCCCCGCACGTGCAGGCATTCACGGGCCCATCCCCGTGGCACCCAGGGGACAAGGGACAGGCTGTGTTGACAGGAATAGACTGCTGCTGCTGTACCATGAGGAATCCAGGCCTTTGTCTGACCTAGGAGTCTCAGGTTTTTTGGCACACCCATGATGCCCCGGCAAGCGAACTTGCTAGCATGCAAGAGTAAAGCTTCAGACCCTTCCCAGTTCTTGACAGGGTGGCCCCCATGGGACTAGGAGTTTCCCAAGAGCTGTTCTACATCCTACCTACTGACCTCCACTAAACTGGGAGATGCCTGAAGAAGAGACCCCACTCCTCACACTTGGATGGAAACCAAGACATTTTCTCCTGTCAGACTGAGGCTCTCCAGAGCTGGGTTTGCATCCTCTAACCCCTCTGCCTACTCCTGTCTCTGCCAACACAGGCCACTCTGAAGGCCCGGAAAATAAAGAGTTCTCCCAAGTATCCCCTCCCCCAGCCCCAATTCTCACACACACATACATGACATTCGGGAGCTACACCCAGCTCTTGCCTGGGCCCTGCTTTCTACTGGACTTAGAGGCATTTCCTGGGCTTCTTGAAGCTAAGGCAATGACCTGGAAGTAAGTGGAGTGGGGAGCCAGGGTGAGGAAGGATAGAGAGAAGACAGAAAGGGGAGGAGAGAACGTAATGATGCAAGGAAACATAATGCTTGGAGTGCTTTCTGTAAGCCAGGTAAAGTCTGGCACTGTGTGACTATCTCTAATTTACAGATGAAGAGACTGAGGGTCAGACAACATGCTGAGGGTCACGTAGCTCTTATATTTATGTGGCGGAGCAGGGATTTGAACCCAGTCTACTGGCGGCCAAAGCCGCCCCCTTCTCCCCTTTAATGCCTTGCCAAGAAGGAAGGTGGAGGGACACCTGGGTTTTAAGTGCTCTTGGAGGCTCTAGAAAAGGCAGCTATTCCTGGGTGGAACCCTAAGGGCAGATGAAGTTCTAGCCTCACCCCTTGTGATCCAACAGGGGCCCTAGAGATCAGACAAAGTTCTATGCGTTCTGGGAACTCTGTCTCATCCCAGTCCCTGATCAGGGGAAGAGGGCAGCACAGCCTTAGGAAGAATGGATAAGCACGGTGAGTGGGGCTGGAAGCAGGGTGGGGACGGAGGACAGGACCACTGACTCCTGTCAAGTGCGGATGCAAACCCAGGGTGGGCCAGCCCACCCATCGCCATGGCGACCCCAGAGAAGAAGTTCAGCCTTTTCTCAGTTACTTGTACAAGCCCTCTTCTTTCTTTTCCCTGAATATTCTTGACATCTGCTTCCTCATCTTCACCTGCTGCTGTTTGGACCTTTGTGTTCTCTGGCCGGGACCGCTGTGACGATGCCTAAGTGGGTCTCCCTCTGTCCTGCAGGGAGACCATCCTAAAACACAGCTCTGAGCATGTCCCTCCATTGGAAAGTTCAGTGGCTCCCCACCCCTGAAGGACAAAGTCCAAACTCCATAGCCTGGCACCCAAAGTCCCAGCTTCCTTTCTAACCTCATTTCCTATTCCCATTTCTCTCGAAAAGTTCCAGTACCCCTTTCTGGCTGTGCACTAAGTCTGGCCTTTCACAACCAAAAGGCTCCTTGGTGTGTTTTCTAATGAAAAGTGCAGCGGACCCTGGTTTTCCAGCTTCAGCAACATCGAAAACTGGCAGAATCTTTGAAACAACTTTATTTGGAAAGGTTTCGGAAGTCTTAGATGAAATTCAGAGGCCCCGGTTACCTCCCTCGCCCCTACCCGAGGTGGTTGTGAAGGTGAAGGGGCACAATGTGTGAAGAATTTAGCACAGTGACTGCATACAGTTGGTGCTCAATACATGTGAGCTAAAACACTAATTGTGTCATTCCCCTTTGTCCCCAACCTCTTTAAACAGGATGGGCGGGGACCAATAGGAATTCTCTTGACCTTCCCACTGCAAACCACTGTGGTGTCTTCCCTGGCCTCATCCACCTGCTTTTCTTTGGAAGTCTAGCTCCCCAGATCCAGCAGAGAGCAGGACAGACACATGGTGGTACCGGGGGGAGGGAGGAAGGTTGCCGAATGATTGGACTCCTACCAGGAGAGGCCAGGTTACTTCCCATGGCAGCCCGGCAACGTCCTGCCTGCCAGGATTACTGTTATGAGTTATGAAATTTGTGCTCTCCATAAAGGCACCCGCCAGAGGGACACTGGGGGCTGAAATCCGGCTGGCAATTGGGGTCAAGCCTGGAAGGAAGAGGAGACACCTTTTTCTAACTGGCTCACTCCTAGGGCAGCCTTTTCCTAACTGGTCTGCCCATGGTGGTGGTGGTGGTGGTGTGTGTCGCAACCTGCTCCCCGCCTCACAGTCGCCCTGGACAGGAACACTATTTTTTCCAGATGGGGACACGGAGCTTGACAGAAGCGACGTGACCTGCCCCGAATCCTCAGCGAGGAAGAGTAGAAACCTGGGAAATGGGGTGCAGCCCGGCGGCCCTGTCTCGCCCGGTGCAGCCCGTGCACACTGTCCTTCAGGCGCCTGCGTTTTTTTGGGGGGGGGGGTCGGGGGGTGTCGGGTTGTGGACAGCAGTCAGGGTGCCCGGCTCTTCCCCGGGGACAGCGGGCCTGCGCTGACCTCCCCCCTCCCCCCGCCCCGCAGGAGTGAAGACCCCCTTGTGGAAGAAGGAGCCGGCCGAGCCGCCGGCCAGCGAGGCGGAGGCTGCCGCAGAGGAGGGGTCGGAGGAAGAGGAGGACGAGGAGGACGAGGAGGCGGCGGCGGCGAGGCCGCGGGAGCAGAGCGGGGCGGAGGGCGAGGCGCCGAGCCGGGAGGCGGAGGGCGGCGAGGGCCGCGAGCGGGGCTCCGTGTCCTACTGCCCGCTGCGCCAGGAGTCCAGCACCCAGCAGGTGGCGCTGCTGCGGCGCGCGGACAGCGGCTTCTGGGGCTGGCTCGGCCCGTTCGCGCTGCTCGGCGGCCTGGCGGCCCCCGCGGACAGGTAAGGGCGCGCCCCGGTCGGGGGTGGGGGCAGGGGCGGGCGGCGGGCGCGGGGCCGCGGCGGGAGGGGGCCGCGCGGGGCACTGAGCGTCCCGGGCCCCGCGCAGGAAGCGGAGCCTCCCGGAGCCGCCGTGCGTGCTGGAGACGCGGCGCCGGCCGCCGCGCGCCGGGGGCTGTGCGCGCTGCGAGATCCTGTTCTGCAAGAAGTGCAGGAACCTGCACAGCCACCCGGCCTACGTGGCGCACTGCCTTCTCGAGCACTCGGATCTGCGGAAGGTGCGGGCTTCGGGGCGCTCGGGGGGCGCGGGGGCCGCCGGGTGCCCCTGAGCGCCCCCGCCGCCAGCCTTTGTGCTCTCTGTCCTCGCCTGACCCCAGCCTCCCCGCCACCACCTCCTCCAGAAGTGCCCCTTCCCAGAGCGCCTCCTCCAAGCCCGCAAGCCGGCCCACGGTCGCCATGGGCCTGCCCACCTGTCACCCAGCGCCCACGCCAGGCTGAGCCCAACATCACCTGGGGCTCTATGCCTCCATGAGCGCCTCCCGAGGGCTCCCGTCCCGGCGGCACCCAGTGCCTCCCGCCCACCGGACTCGCGCCCCAGGCACAGCCTCACATTCATCTCCGGGGTAGCTCAGGTCCTCTGGCTCAGTGCGCGGAGGCATCGCCTAGAGAAACTAACCCCTGGGCTCCCTCACGGCTGAGAAACCTGCCCCTGCCCCTCCAGTCACTCAATAAAGCCTCTAATCAAAATGTCAGAGCCTTGAGGTGGGGGCCAGGTGGCTCCCTTGAGGGGGATAAAGACCCTCCTTCGCCTTCCCCGGGGTTCACGTCGGAGGGAAAAGGGCAGGCGGAGCGCCGCCTCCTTCCATCTCCCCCAGGACAGGGTGGAACAGAGCACTTGCACCCAAGGTCAGTCAAGGGCCATTCCCCCGAAAATGAAGGCTGAGGGCCAAGAATGCCCCTGGGGAGCTGAGGCTTACTCTTGCTAGATCATTCTCCCCTTCCCCTGGAAGCCAGGTCTTGCAGTGTTTGTGCAAATGAGGCACTGGCAGGTGTGGGGGGTGGGGGTGGGGGGAGGACAAGAGAACCAGGTGCTGAAAAGCTGAGACTGGCTGAGGCAGAAGAGAGGCTGGAGAGCTGGTTCCTTCTCCAGGAATCCCAGCTATTCTTGGCCAGCCATCCAGCTCCTGGAACGCTGCGTGTGTGGCCTGAAGAATGGGGCCATTGTGAGCACGAGGCCTCCCCCAGCCTGCAGGGACCCCAGCGCCTGCAGCAGTGCAGCCCTCCAGAGAGGCCCCCACCCTCTCCCTGCCACCCATGGCTCTCCAGCTTTTTTGCTTTTTCGGGCCACCTCTCCCCATCACGATGACTCACACACAGTCTGTAGTCTTGGCTTGGACGGGAAAGAACATTGTTCCAGCCGCTCCAGCATCCGTGCTCTCACTGGAAACCATTCCAAGGAAGGCTGATGCCTGCTTCCGGGCCCACCAGCTGGGGGCACCGCTTTATTCCAGTGGGGCCCAGCAGGCCTGCATCAGTCTCCCTCTTGCTCTGGGTCCTGACCCCCCACCCCGACCCCCACGGCTCTCTGAGGTTGGAAATCCTTGTACCCAACCCACCCAAGCTTCCTGGAAGTGAGGCTTCTCATTTAAAAAGACACAATTCTCCAAAAACTGAGCCAGGGAGGTCCTGAGGAGAAGGAGACAGTCTTGCAAAGTGGTCCCAACCTCTCCATCGAGTTTTGCATCCTCCCTGGCCGCCCAGTGCTGTTGCCTCATGGACAGGAAGTGCACCTTTAGCAGAAGAAACAAAATCCCTGAGGCTTGGGGAGGAGGGTCCTTTGGGAAAGGGCTGGGGGGTTTGAGACCCTTTTTGGCTTCTCCTTGGACTGATCCCACAAAGATCAGTGTCTTAAGAGCACAAAGCAATTCTCCAGGAAACAAACGCAAACTTTCCTGTCTGGTCTTCAGCAGGGAAGCTCGGAGGCTTCCAAGGCAGGTCCCGTTCCTGGGGCAGGGGACACACGTTGGCCACAAGGGCACCAACAATTCACTAAGGGGTGAATTGTTGCAATTGGTGCATCTTCAGAACAGGGAGCCCCCCGAGTTGGCGTGCCAGCAGCCCATCCAGGGCAGCTCTGCGGCCCAGCGGCCCGAGACAGTCGCCCGCAGTCTGGCCTGGTCAAGGCGCCAGTAGCGGTCATCTCTGAAGAAGACGATGGAGCCGTCCAGCCGTGGCAGGGCGCCGCTGACCTCCTCGGGGACACCACCCCAGTCCTGCAGGCCTCGCGGGTAGTAGGGCTCCACCTGCAGTCCATCTCGGGCCAGCACATAGTAGTGGGCACCCTTGAAGAGGATGAGTCGGCTCAGAGGCGGGAAGAAGAGGGCCGCGTCGGGGTGGCGGGGTAGGCCCCCTGCCCGGCACAGCTGTGGCGAACCCCACACTGGCTTGGGGCCCCGGAACCTCCAGCACCGGCTCCCTGTAGGGCATCGGGAGAGCCAGGGTGAGCTGGTGGCTCTCACCCTTTGGTCCTCCACCTCACCTGTCCCCCCAGACCTGTACTCCCCCTCATGTTGGAGCCCAGGGTGGTTAGTATTTGTGGTCATCAAGATGGATCACACAGTACTAATAATTCGTAGGTAAGATGGTCCCACCGGGACTGTTGTGGCCTAGACTTCCAGCAGGTGTCAGCAGAGGGCAGACAGCACAGCAGGAGCATCCGGGGGAGGTGGGCAGCAGGCCCCCTCCCTGAATGGGCAGTGGACCATAGGGAAGGCCAGTCACCACCATTTCTACACATAGTTCTATGAGGGCAGGAATTTTTGTTTTGTTCACGACTGTATCCCAACACCTCCAATCGTGTCTAGTGCATCCAAGGCACTCAGTATTTGTTGGATGAATGAAAGAAACTATTTACTCACATAATAGACTGCATGCTCCTCGCGACATTATGTTTTAATCCTCCTTCCCCAACAAACCTGAGGGATTATTTCCCCCATTCAAGATAATTCAAGTCCAAGTGACAGGCCCAACCTCGCACAGCCAGAATTCCAAGGAAGCAGGACTTTCCCGCTGGATTGCAGAGCTCAGGAGTGGTCCTCTGCTTCCCTTCTAGACTCTTCTCTGCAGCTCTCCCACCCTCTCTCTCTGGGACAACCTCAACGCCCATGCCCTGCAATCCATCCCTGAAGGAACCTCCTGGTAGAGTTCCCTGGGGCCGCAGGTTCAGAATGGAATTGACACCCCTCCCCTCTTTTGACCTTGGACAGAACACCTCCCTTCTCTAGGCCTCAATTTTCTCCTCTGCCCCAGGGCTGGTACCTTTGAAGAAGTAGAAGTCCCCACTGTCCAATGACACCGCAGCAGCCTCAATGTGGGGGGGCAGCCCCGCCCACCTTTCCTGTAGTGGGCGTGGCTCTGAGACATTGCCGTCCGCCGCCACCTCCCAGAAGTGGCTTCCTTGAAAAATGTACAGTCGCTGTTGCCCGTCTGTCCGGAGACAAGAGAGTTGAGGAGTGACCATCAGCCTCTCGCCTTCCTTCCAGGGAAGGTGCTTTCCTAGAACCAGCTTCCCAGACTCAGGCTAGAGGCTGTAGCGTGCACAGCTGGGGCAAAGAGAAGGCGCGCAGAAGGAAGCAGTGTTTTGCTTGGCGTGGGCTTGCTACCCCTGCAGAATGCTTGTGGCTTGGGATTTCTGGATTTATTATTCATAACCCCACCTCGTATTCCAGCTCTGGAGACCCCTGGAGATGTGGGGGAGGAAGGAAAAAGGAAGCGAGGCGCAGGTGGGACCATCTTACCTACAGTGATGGCATCGAAGGAAGAGTGGCAATATTTAGGACCCTGGATTTCGGGGCGCCTTCCCTGTGGTCTGTGGGGGTCCCAGGCCTCAAAGTCAGTGAACAGCTTTCCTGGGAGCTGGATGGCCACGGAGCCCCCCTGGGGCTTCCCTTCATGGGGAAGGAGAGAAGAGGGAGAGCACACACACTGGTTGGGGCATGTGTGGAGGGCTCAAGACCTCCTTTCTGGCTCCTTCCATCATGATCTGGTATGGGAGGCAGGGAAGGAGCGTGGCGGGTGGGGGGCTAAGAGTTGTCCTTGGTTGTCGGTATTATTAACCGTAGCACTAAACTCAAAAGTCCTGTCTCCTCCGAAAAGTCTGGGAAAGAGAACCCTACTGAGCTAAAACTGGAGTGGCGGACCACACAAGAGTTGGGCACTAAGAAGAGCAGAAAGTTCTCTTCCCTGAGTCCTGGGCAGCACAGATGGCATGAGGGCAGAGTTCAGGAGCCCAGGCTGCGATAGTTACAGCAATCATAATAATTACATCACCATACTTCACTTATGAGAGTGAGGCAGAGTCCAACAGGCTTAGAATTTGGCACCAGCTCCTGCATCCTGGTCTACAATTTTCTAGCTGTGTGACCTTGGACAAGTTATCTAACCTCTCTGAGCCCCGTTCTCCCCATCTGTGGACAGACACCTCATGAGTGTGTTAAGTGTCTGGCCCATAGTATACACTCACGAAATAGCAGCTGTTGGCGTACGTTTCTTAGGCTACAGAAACCTAGGGCCAATAGCCCTGTGAGGTAGGCAGGGCCTCAGTGATTATCCCTTTTCTCAGAAGGTAAAACTGAGAGCTCTCCGCGGGGAAATGCTTTGCCCCCGAGCAACTGCTTATCAGGAATGGCACGGTGACTTGAACCCAGGGCTCTGCCCTGCCTCCGCACCAGGCACTCTGAGGGAGCCAGCCGTGGCCGGTTGGGAGGCAGCACTGGCCAGTTCATTCTGGAAGGAGCCGGAGTAGGGGGGAAACCTCGGCTGGGTCTACCTCGAGGCAGAGGCCCAGGCTTGGAGGGGAGCAGGCACCAGCGCCAGCGAGGGGGCTAGGCTGGGGGAGAGCAAGCGGAGCAGGAACGAGGGCTGGGACGCGGGAAGGGGTGGGACGGGGGACTGGGTCTGGGTGGATGGGGCAGCGATGGGAGAGGGACCGCCGAGGCCGGGGTCGGGCAGGACTCTGGGGAATCAGAGCGCCAGGGAGGGCGGTGCGCGGGACCTGGTTGGGATGGAGAGGCCAGGCACGCGGGGCTTTTTTGGATGTGAGGGGAGCCGCGGCTTCGGGATCGCGAGGGACCGGTGGCGGGGAGGCCGGGTTCCCGCGCTTCCGACGGCGGCTCCTGCCCGCCGCGCGGGCGGGCGGGCCCCGGGGGCGGGCGGGGGCCGGGCGGCGGGCCGGGGGCTCACCATACAGGCCCTGCACGGCCAGCACGTCGTCCCAGCTGAGCAGCGCGTCGCGGCCCAGCCTCTTGTAGTAGGGCGCCATGAGCGCGCGCGGCGCCGGCGAGTGCGGCAGGCCGAGCGTGTGGCCGATCTCGTGCGCCAGCACCACGAACAGGTTGCGCCCGCGGCGGCGGCTCAGGGACCAGCGCTCGTCGCGGTCGAAGTGCGCTTCGCCCCGGCGGGGCAGGAAGGCGTGCGCCAGGGCGCCCCCTGCAGGCGGCGCAGAGGGTCAGGGGAGGCAGCGTGGTGTTCATACAGCGTGGGGCCTAACTGCCTGGGTTTCCATCCCGGTTTTCCTATTCGCTAGCTGTGTGACTTTGGGCAAGTAGCGCTCCCTCTGATCTGGAATGGGAATGATGATAATGAGCTGCTTCTTCCTCACGGGGTTGCTCTGGGGATTATAGAGGGATATGTGTATACGAGTAGGTTACATATATTTCATGCCTAGGCCATAATGAATGCTACACAGGAATTATTTTCACAAAGATCTAGGTAGGAATAGGTATAGTGGTTACCCCAGAGGTCGGCACGATGGGACCTTCTGGATGACGATAATGTCGATTCTTGATCGGCGTGCTGGGTGTGTTTATGGGTATGTATAGTCTCTTTAATAAAAAGTATATCTATTTTTGTGTTCTTGCCTTTCTCTCCTGGGGCCCCTCTGTGGGTCTCTACCTCCTGTAGTAGGAGTGAGCAGAGGGAGTGAACTGGATCAATGAGGTTCCAGCTTGTGGCATGCCCCAGAGGGAGCTTATCAGTTACGCAGTTCCCAGGACCCCAGGCTTCACGATTCACTTTCTGCAGGGGCAGGGGTCAGCCAACGGCTCGGTGAGAATGCTGGCCTAGAAGCCTGCTGAGGGCGCTTCCAGCCTTGCCTTCTTGGAGCCCAGGCCAACCGGGACTGACCACCATTAAAGGAGAGCCGCCTGGGGTGTGGAGCGTGGGCCATGTGTGGACCAATACGTGCCTCCTGTTTTGGATATGCCTCGAGCTGTCCGAGCAATGTTAGCCCTTTCCGCTCACTCCTCCCACTAATCCTGGGAGACAGATGGCAGGTTTCAGAGAGAGAACACCTAAACTCAGACAAAGCGCCTGCCCCAAATCAGAGAGCTTTCTCCCAGTCCCGTGCTGTCTTAGCTGCCACACTCCAGCTGAGTACAGGCATGAACATTTCATGTAGATAGCAGGGGTGAAGTGAGTTACATGCAAGAAGACATGTGTTACATGTGGATTCTTGAAAAGCTTAGATTTCTCCCAGTCCTAACCTGGGTCCCAGCAGCAGGGCCTAGACGTGGGCTTTGCTCAGAGTGGGCTTGATGCCAAGTAGAGGAGCGCAAGGGAGGTGAGGGCCCGAATTCCCAGGCCACACAAGGGCTCGAGTGCCCAGCGTGCAGGGGTCTAGTCAGGGCTCCTTTCATCATTAGGGTGGGGGGGGAGGGACGGGGTGGGCGATGCACAGGTAGCCTGCAGTCAGGTTCTGAAGGCCAGTGTTGGGCAGAATGGGAGGAGAGCAGTTTAAATTGCTGCCGCAAGCCTTCAGTTTGGCGGCAAACAGGAGAACTGGCTGGGCTGTGCGAATGCGAAGCCCTTCGGTGGCAGGTAGGGGATAGAATGCCTCTTGCCCTGCGGCAGTGACTGTGGGAGTGGGCGTGGGGAGGGCTGGAGTGGGGTAGTGGCGGCCTCTGGATGTTTTTAGGGTGGTGGTCGGGAGAACACCCACTCTTGGAGAACAGGAGAGGCACAGGCCTGTCTAGAGGCAGAGGACAGATGACCGGACCTCAGAAGCTTCTCCCAGAAAATACTCTGGAATCTACAATGCACTTTCCACGCAGAACCTCATCTGGCCTTCCCTTCAGCCATGTGGCACACAACTGGGCAGAAACCATTGTTCCCATTCTACAGAGGAGGAGACTGAGGGTTCTTTGAAGGTGGATCCAGCTTGGCCAAGGCCAAAGGGAGAGCAAAGGCCCCATTGCCCTCCCCAGACTGCCTCTCCCAGGTGGGTTCCCCTCCTGCCACGTGAGACAGAGCCTCTGTGTCAGCACCTGGGCCATCAAAAGCGTTGCCCAGCCCGTCGTTGTGGTCCCCTTGGAAGAAGGTGAGGCGGATGTCAGCGGGGACTGTGGCTGGGGCCTCCCAGAATTCCAGCGCCGAGACGTTGCTCCACAGTTGGAAGGCGGCGCGCACGGCCCCACGAACGGCCGGCTCCGGGAGGTGCTGTGGCCAGTTCACCAGGCGGTAGGAGAGGTGCTGCTTGTACCACTTGCTGCCTGCCAACCGGAGAGGCCGCGTCGGTCACACGCACCTGCGGAACCCGGGCTGGTCCCCAAGGACCCATATGAGGCCCTCCTCCAGGGAGTCCCAGATTTGAAGGGGAGTAACACAGCCCTTGTCCTGGGAAGAGCCCGTCTGGCTGGGGAGACACTGCTCTCGAGCTGACAGGTCTACCCTTGTCCCAGAGAGGCCCCAGTCTAGTGGCTTGGCCTGGGGAAGTCGCTCGGGGAGATGTGACCTCCGCCCAGGAAAAGCCCCCAACCTGAAGGACTCTCTGGTCTGAGGTCTTCTTCCTCACAGCCTGGGCTGAGCCTGAAAACCGCTCTGCACCTCTTGCTGGCAGCAAATCCCTACCCCTGCCTACTGGGGCGGGGGGAGAGGAGAGATGGGGCCACTGGGGCCCCAGATGTGACCCCTTCCACCTCTCCTCCCCTCACAACCGCCTGCCCTTCCCGTTCCAGTGCCGCAGGACTGCTGCCGACAAGCTACCAAGACCCATTTATTAGAGGTCTTTCCCTGACCCCTGGCCCTCCCCCTCACTTCCTCAGGGACTCTGGAGAGCTCTGAGGTGAAAACAAATAAGAACAAAGGGTGTGTTTTGTCACTCACTGAGATGGAGAGAAATTTTTCCATCTCCACTTAGCTACGAGTTTCTAGTCCTTTGCCCAGAACTGCAGTTCCTCCCTTGGACCTAAGAAAGACTCTGGCCTCTTGCCCAAGCCTCAGGTCAACTGAGTCCCCCTGCAGCACACCCAGGACCAGGGTGCTTAGAAGGTCCAGATCCTGAGTTTTTCATGGGCTATTTCTGAGCCTGGCAAGCTCAGGGGCTGAGACTGTGACCCCAGCTGGAAGACTCACAGCTCCCAGGCAGGCCTCATGGGCCCAGGGAGTGCATAGGTTTCGTGTGATCTTTGGGGCCTCAGTTTCCCAAATGGACCAGAATTCCTGAGGTATGGGTGACAAGTAGGCAAGCCTGGCCAGTGGACACAGCCCTCTCTCTCCTTGGAGGAACAGTTGAAGGTTCGGACAGCCTGCCCTTTTGCCTCGGGGAAGTCCTTGCCTGAACCAGGGAGGAGGGCTGAAGTCATGGAAGTTGGGCCATCTCCTCATCCGACCTCTCTGCTCTGTTCTGGGGAAATTGAGATCGGGTGAAGGGACCTGCCCAGGGTCACAGAATGAGTGAGTAGCTGAGCTAGGCCCCGAGCCCAGGCCCTGACATCTGACCCAGTGCGCTTTCTACTACACCACACAGGTAAACAGGCACATTTGCTAAGACTCAAGGCTTGTAATTTGCCTGAACATGGCTCCCACGGGTCAAAGCAGGGGCTCTGCATGAGCTGAAATTCTCCAGATGGAAGGGAGGGTGCTAGAGAGCTGAGTGCCCTTTCCCTCCCTATTCCCCATGGAAGTGGGGGAGGGGAATGTCTTTTCTCCCACCCTGAGCCAAGCTCCATTCCAGGCAATGCTGCCTTCCCAGGCCTGTTTGGTCTGGCAGCCACCCAACCCCTCCCAGCCAGTGACCAACACTCAGGGAGGGAAGGGGGAAGGATTCTTAGGAAGGGAGGGAGACAAGGAAGGCAGAGGGAAGGCCTGGGGTCCAGAGGTGACTTGGAGGGCTCTGGACTGGCTGGCTCTGGGCATTTCCACACCCTGCTGGGGCTGACCGACTCCCAGGCTCTCCCTGCCCACCTTCAAGCTGCTAGAAGTGTGAGGCAGGTCCTTCTGCCTCTTTGCATTAGAGGGGGGCTTCGCTCAATGGGCAGGAAAGGGAAGGTGACAGCTCGCAGGATAAAAATCCTCTGTGAACGCATGTGTGTGTGTGTGTGTGTGTGTGCACGCAGGCTCGTGTGTCTTTGGAGGAGGACAGGGAGGACAAATAGGTACAGGACTGAGAGAAAATGGTTAATTTTCCTTGAGAGGGGTGGTTGGTGTGCCTGCCAAGAAGGAAGAACCCCCCTCCACCCACCACCTACCCTCACCAGCAGCCTGAGCCCTCTCTCCATCCTCTTCCTCTTAGAGGAGCCTGGCCACCTCAGGCCCCATCCTGAACTCTGGCCCAGGCAAGGCTGGATTCTGCAGTGACCTCTAGGCCACAGAAGCACCTGGCAGTGCACCCCCCACACCCTTGCCCCAAAATCCAAAAGGTAAGAGGGAAAGAAAAGGACATGGGGAGGAGTGGAGACCTAGACACCTGACTCCCAACAGGCAACGGATACTGTGGAAAGAAGCTGGTCGGAATGCCAACACTTCTACTCGCAACCTTACATAGCAAATTATGGAATCTCTCCAAACCTTAGTTTCCTTATTTGCAAAGTGTGGTTGGTAAGACTTACTTGTGGTAAAAATGAGAAGGCAAATGAACTAGAATGTATGGGTGCGGGCATGTGGTGGGTGCTCAGTAAATGCCTACTCTCTTCTCCTTCCTTTTCCACCCCAGATTCACCCCTGGACCCCCTACCTTCCCCCCTAGCTCCTTGGGGGACCGAGGGGGATTGAAAATCTCCCCCGTAAGCACAGAGGGGACCAGACACTTGGAATGAGGTTGCCAGATTTAGCAAATAAAAACATGGAACACCTGGTTAAATTTGAATGTCAGATAAATAACAAATTTTTTCTCTTTTTTTGGTATAAAAGTGAGCACAAAACAATGATTTGTTGTTCACCTGACATCCAAATTTAACTGAACGTCTTATATTTTGTCTGGCAACCCTACCCTGGAACCCGACTTCGTCAAGAGAGCATTTGCCCACAGAGTAGACAGTCACTGGCCTAGAAATCCACATCATTTTTAAAGCCCCCACCCGTGTTCTGGGGTTTCTCACATGGGGAATCTCACTCAGTCCTCCCAGTGATGAGAAGGCCTGGCCACACTCTGGCTATGTGGCCCTGGGGAAGTTTCCTAAGCTCTTTGTCCCTTAGTTTGGCTCTCTGTAAAATGAGGATAATGATGGTCCCTATCTCCTAGGGTTGTTATGGGATTACCTGACTTAACCCATTTAGAACTGCACTTGGCACATCATAAATGCTCAGGAAGGGTCAACTGTTAAGAATACATTTTCCAAAGGAAGGCATAGGAAGTGTTCAGTGCCTGCCAAGCATACAGCTCCTTTCTAGGGAAGGTCTTCTCATTCAGTGGGTGAAGGAAGTCGAGCTGCTGTGGTTCAGGTTATGAACAAGAGAGAAAGTCTCCATCTAACCTGAGCCACTGCTGTCTGGACCAGGGATCAGGGTCAGACAGTGACATGGGGCTAGGCTGGTAGGGCAAGGCTACCTGCCTGGGAGATGCCTTAGCTTGAATCTCTGTTCCAAATGGATGCTCCAATTTGAACGGCACCAAATAGGTTCCATCAGCTACTCCCATGAGAAGATGCTGCCAGAAGGTAGTATCTCTGGTGCTCAGGTTGTGCCCTGGATGCCCAGGAGGCATCATCCCAGTTCTCTGGGGGACCACCTATAGCCTGGAAATGCCACTGCTGAGACTGGGTCTGGAGCCGCCCCAACTTCCACAGCAAGCCCCCTCCCCTTGGTGATCAGGGCCCATCTCTACTTTGCAACCAGAAAGAGCCTATGTCTTAGATGAGGAAATGGAGCAGTGACACACTGCTGAGCCCAGAGCCCCAGCTCCAGGAATGCTGTCCCAGCTCATGCTGCGCCTCTCTGTTCTACCTCTGTGGTCCAGAAACACAGTGGGATGCAGAACATGTTGACACCAAGGACTTCTCGACCCCAGCATTCAGATCCCATCACTGCCATCCTCCAATAGCTGAGGGGAACACCCACAGCTTCCTTATGGACTAGCGAATGTATGGGTGCGGGCATGTGAACCTTGTGTTCTGTTCATAATGGATATTGTTGCTGCAAGTAGTTAATGCAAATTAAAAGAGACAATGGCCCAAAGTGCTCGCGGTAAATTTGATTATAGATGAAAACCTGACTCAACAACCCCATCTTGTTAGAAGTCCTAAAAACTGCAGAAATCAGATCAGAGAAAATTAGACTTAGTACAAAGAAGATGTTAAAATTACACACAGTAAAACTCGTTATTGATGAAGAATTGATAGAAGAATCAAATCTTCAGAAATCTTAGGTCTGTAACATTTGACCCTGGAAGATTGGATCTGGACAAAAAGGAGGAAGAGGAGGAGAAAGAAAGATAAAACCAAAACCACAAACGGAGAATCACAGCAGCAGGAACCGTGATGTATAAAATGAGCAGTGATGAAATGTCCAGAATAGGCAAATCCATAGAAACAGAAAGCAGATGGGTGCTTGTCAGGAGCTGGGGAGAGGGGGCGGGGAGAGGGGGAGGGGGGAGAGGGGGAGGGGAGTGACCGCTAAGGAGCATGGGGTTTCTTCTGGAGGTGATGAAAGTGTTTTGGAATTAGATTATGGTAATGGTTGCACAATTCTGCAAATATACTAAAAAACACTGAGTGGTACACTTCCGATGGGTAAATTTTATGGTATGTGAATTCTATTCCAATAAGGCTGTTAAAAGCGTGCTACAGACAAAATAAAACTGATCAGTAAATCACATCTTTGTTGAATAATTCTTATGATGAAAACAACTTTGGGAAAACATAAAGCAAAACATTGGCAACAGTTTAACTGCCCTGCATAACTAACTGATCAAGGAATTAAGTGGGCTTGATGGGGCTTGCTGTGGAAAACATCGGCATAATAAAAATCCATCCATTTTGGTGTAATTCTGATTTAAATGTCTGTGTTCACAAACATGGCCCTCCACTTGAGGGGTTCTGTTCACCCACTGCTCTCCCCTCTCCCGCCCTAGGGAAGAGGATACCGACAAAGCCCAGTCCGAGGCTAGGCTGGTTTTTTTCTCTGGCCACGGGGCTTCTGGGTGTTGGGAATCCTGGCTTAGGTAGATTTCAGCAGGGCTCACCTTGCTTTGCAAAGCGTTTCTTACGCCTCATTTTGGCCCGGCGTCCAGCAAACAGGGCACTGACCCTCTCAGTCCAGGCCACCTGACTGTCTGTGTCTGCCACCCCACAGCGGGGCCGCGTCATCTGGCGCAGGGTGGCGGGGTCTAGCACACCGCTGATGGGCAGCTGAGATACCCTCTGGAACTCCCTGTCAGGAGGAATTGAGATAAAGGACCACAGTGGGAGGGTGGGTGGTGGGGGTGAGGGCAAGGAGTTTCCCTGGAGACAGCAGGAGGCTGGTGGCAGGGTTGGTGGGGGGAGCAATGGAGCATGACCCTTGGACACAGAAGGGAGGCCAGCCATCCAGGAGGAGGGAAGAGGCGACCCAAGCTTGCCCTCTGGCACCCCCAAATCCCCCACATACCTGATGGCATTGCTGAATCTTGCCGCGGTGAGGTCTTTGGGGACCTGCTCACTGAGATATCCGTACTTCTCCAGGAATGCCTGGGGGAGAGAGGAGCGTCAGCTTTCCCACGGTGTGGCACCCTTTCCCCTCCCTTGGTCTCCGAGGGTCCGTGACACATGCATCATGCCCAGTCTCACCTTTGTCCCAGTGAAGTCTATGAGCTATAGGAGAAGGAGTCCTGGGACCAAAGCCAGAAGGACGTAGGCTCCGTTCCAGGCCACCACTGACTACCTTGATGGTCTTGGGCAAGTCACTCAATATTTCTAAACCTTAGCTTCCTTAATTCTCAAACTGGCCATGGAGTCCCTACCCAGAGTATTTCATGGCATCGTCAGGGATCTAGCAGGGCATGCTGGACAAGTAGAATTAGGGGCTCTGGAATCACGGTGGCCTGGGTTTAAATCCCAGTTAGGAAGCTATTTCTCTAAACCACAGGTTCCTTATCTGTAAAAGGGACTTAGAAACAGTATATAACTTACAGGTTTTTTTGGTGAAGCTTGATCACAAGTGACTACAAAGCACTTAACACGGTGCCTGTCACCTAGGAGGGTCTCCATACAGAGCAGCTTTTATAAATATAAATATGCACTCAGCTCTGCTCCTGAAACATCTCCCCTGTCTAGGGAGTTACCCTGTATTGATCAGAAGTTGGGCTGGTCACCCGCAGGCTCTGCCATGTCTGGCTTGGGAGTTAGTTATCTTTCTATTCTGGTTTCTTCCTAAACAATTCACCTCCTCCCCAAAGCAGGTATGTTTAAGGCCCTATGAACAACAAATGCACTTGCCCTCAGCTCTATGGTTTGTATAAAAACTTGGCTCCTTAGAAAAGTAATTTTTGGGGTGGTGCCTGGGTGGCTCAGTTGGTTAAGCATCTGCCTTTGGCTCAGATCATGATCCCGGGGTCCTGGGACCGAGCCCCACATCGGGCTCCCTGCTCAGTGGGGAGCCTGCTTCTCCCTCTGCCTGTCATTCCCTCTGCTTGTGCTCTCTCTCTGACAAATAAATAAATAAAATCTTTTTAAAAAATAGTGTTAAAGTAGTTTTGGGGGGAAGCTGGCTGGCTCAGTTGGAGGAGCATGTGGCTCTTGATCTAAGGGTTGTGAGTTCGAGCCCCACATTAGGTGTCGAGATTACGTAAATAAATAAATAAATCTTAAAAAAAAAAAAGTAACTTTTGAATTAGAAACCTGCAACTTCCTCTTTTCATTCACTCATTTGTTAATTCATACAAGGTACGAGGTACACTGTCAGGTCCAATGACCAACAAGACTTGTGGATAGAGAGACAGTAGCAACACAGATAACAAGTGAAGGAGACAGTTTGGATGCTATAAAGAAAAGAAACTGGGTGATGTGATTGAGAATAACTTTAAAAAAAAATATTTTATTTATTTGACAGAGAGAGACACAGCGAGAGAGGGAACACAAGCAGGGGGAGTGGGAGAGGGAGAAGCAGGCTTCCCGCGGAGCAGGGAGCCCGATGCGGGGCTCGATCCCAGGATCCTGGGATCATGACCTGAGCCGAAGGCAGACGCTTAATGACTGAGCCACCCAGGCGCCCCGATTGAGAATAACTTAGCGAGAAACTTTCCACCAGGGAGGTCAGGGAAGGACCCTCTGCAGAGCTGATATTTGATGTGAGTCGTGAAGAGTGAGAAGTAGCTGGCCATGCAGTGAGGTGGGAAAGACTGTTCCAGGCAGAGGAGGAGCGAACGCAGAGCCCTGAGCTAGGAACCGTGGTGATGTGTCTGAGGGACAGAGGAAGGCTAGAGCACAGTGAGTGTGAAGAAGCAGGACATGTGATGAAGCCACAGGGAGAGAGGCAGGACTGCCACCCAGGGTAGGAAAGGGGAGTTTTAGTTGAGTCCTGATTCAGGTGGGTTAATTGTGAGGACTGAAAGAAAGAGGAATCCGGGATGGCTCCTCAATGTTCGCCTTGGATGGTGAAGCTAGAGACAGCATAAGGAAACCAGAGGCGGGCCAGATGGGCGTGGATGCAAGTAAGATCCACGCGGTGATGTCAAGTGGCATTAGTTGTAGGATCCCAGAACTCAAGGGAGAAGCCAGAATCTTCCAGCATGTGGATGATGTGATGGCGGTGGACCTGGGTGTCATCCCCTGAGGAAGTTACTGTAACTGGAGAACATCTCATGGCCCAAATGCCTTTTTGCCACCACGTGCCCTCACACACCTGGAAGCTGCTCTCTCCGTGACCACGTGTGTGGAGGCCAGTGGTGAGAAGCGTGCGACTCATCGTCCCTACCTATCACCAGCCCTACCCTTCGGGGAAAGCATGCACTTGGCTCCCTGCTTGCCCTTGTCCCTGAGAAAGCCTCATCGATGGATTAAAAGAAATGTCACCTCGGCTGCTTAATTCCTATACAGACACACATCGTCTCTCCTTGTTTAGCCCTCCTGGCTGTGTTACCTATATGGAAATAATTTTCTGTCTTCCTTGTTCTCTTACTCACTTTCCTTTGCTGCATTTCTTGAATCAACACCAATCACAGCTGCTGCCTTGAGGAAAAGGTGCAAATTGAGAACAAAAACTAGACACGAAGAGCCAGGATGGGCAAGCTCCTAAGCCTTTGCAAGTATCCAGTCTTGGCTTTGTGAATTTCATTATATCCGCCCTCAGCGGCTTCCACATCCTCTTCTCAATAAAGCCACTTTCCATAAGGAACCCTTATTCTGGACAACAGACCACTTCCCAAGTCCATTTCATTATTTTTCTACACTAATTTATTCGTATTTCAGTACTATTTTCTTTTTTCCCTTTCCAAATGTGCACTATTTTGGGATGCATAATGGATTAAAGGAGTTCTAGTGGCTTAATCTGGAAGACCATTTATTGCCCAAAATAGTATGGCATCATGGAATAGCCACTGGGCTTGGAATCAAGAATCTGTTCCCAACCCTGACTCTGGGTGGCCAGAGACAAATTACTTAGCATCTCTGAGCCTTCCGTTTCTTCGCCTGCAATGTGAAAACAAGAATAACCCCCACAGGATTCTCAGAAGGATTTTTTTTTTTAAAGATTTTATTTATTTATTTATTTATTTATTTATTTATTTATTTATTTATTTATTTATCAGTCAGAGAGAGAGAGAGAGCGCGCACGCACAAGCAGGGGGAATGGCAGGCAGAGGGAGAAGCAGACTCCCTGATGAGCGAGGAGCCCAATGTAGGACTCAATCCCAGGACCCTAGGATCATGACCTGAGCCAAAGGTGGATGCTTAACCATTGAGCCACCCAGGCGCCCCAATTCTCAGAAGGATTAAGTAAAGCAATGCCTATCAGCATACATAGTAAATAATAAACAGTTGATCTAGTTGATTTACCTTAGTAGAAAAATTAACAGACTTTTGGAAGGCAACCCGTCTATAGGACGGAATGGCTCGGAACAAGGCAGTTAGAGCTCTGTTCTCAATTCAGGTGCTCTATCTTAAACTTGCCCCGCCCCAGCCAAGTGCCTGATTCTCTTCCTTGTCTCCTCCCCTTCCCTTGGTGAGGATGTTTAGAATGGCTTTCTAAACGAAGTCGGAAACTCAGTGTCCCCTTTGAAGCCGATTTGCTGAGTGACTTGGGAGAGACCGGGTCACAGGCTAACAGGCTGGCACTCCCTGTGCTCCTCCCCCCAAACCCACCCAGCCCTTATCAGAAAGTTGGCTCCGGTTCTGGAACTATGAAGCCTTGGACAGAGCAGAAGGGAGGGGATACTGACTAGTGGCGTCTCCTGTTTCCTGGCTGGGCTGCCGTGTCTGGTACTTTGGCAGGCAAGGTGGACTGGAGGGCAGGATGAGGGTGGAGGCCTTTTTTAGGGGTCCATCAGAGGGGAAATCCTGGGCCTCTCTTCCTGACTGGTCTCTGGCACCCTGTGGGTTGCAAGGCAGGGCCGAATTCCCAGGAGGCAGTATGAGCACGTGAGAATGAGAAAAATAAATTTTAAGAATTTGACATTTTATATTTCCACAAAAGCCCTGAAGTATTTTTTTAAGATTTTATTTGAATAAATGAATATTTTAGAGAGAGAGAGAGAGCGCGCGCTCGCACAAGGTGGGGGGGGGAGGGGCAGAGGGAGAGGGACAAGCAAACTCCCTGCTGAGCAGAAAGCCCGATGCGGGACTCGATCCCAGGACCCTGGGATCATGACTTGAGCTGAAGGCAGATGCTTAACCGACTGAGCCACCCAGGTGGCCTGCACTGAAGTATTATAATAGCAATTATCAGAACTTAAGGATTCCCTTACACTTATTTTTAATATGAACATTTGTATTTTAATATGAACACTTTAAAATTACGTATAGGAAGAGGCCCTTCATATCCTCAGTGCTGAGTGCCCTGAAGTTCTGTTGAGTGGAGGCAGAACCACACCCTCGGCTCCTGCAGCTGTCCCTAACCCTCTTCGGTGAGCCCATTTGCCAAGCCTCAGTTGCCCCTGCAAAGGTTACAGAAGTGCCCTGTCTGCATGGGGGAAAGAGCAGAGGTGGGGGGCCAGTGACACGTGGTAAAGGGATCCCAGAAAGAGACACAGGACTAGGAGGTAGAACTCCTGTTCTCATTCCAGCTCGACCACTAACGCCTTGGAAGAGTCATTTCCCTTCCAGGCTGGAGCTTCCCCAGGGCTTGTCCTGTGTTCTCTTAGGGACCCCCTGAGCTCTACCTGGGGTCACCCCCACTGCCCTGCATGGAGGCCGTGTCCTGGCTGCTCCTCTCTGCCTTGCGGTTCCAAACACCAGGTTTTCTCTTTGCCCCGTTCTCCACCCATCCTCTCTCCTGTGGAGCCCAAGGCTTAAGCTGAGTGGAGAGGAAGCTGGAGGACCGTGCCCCTTCTGTGATTCACCCTGCTCAGGCCTAAATCTTGTGACAACCTGCCTCTCCCACTTGGTCAGGGCTGGGGCCACTTCCCTGGGGAGTCGCCTCTGAAAAGTTCTGGGAGTGGCTGTGGTGTCTGAGTAAAATGAAAACGGTTCTCCCTGTGACCCAGAAAGCTGAGTGGGATTAGAACTCTGGGGGTTCTAGTCCCGCATCTGTCTTG